AGAGGAGATATGCACAGCAGAAGCTCAAAATACACAGAGAATTGAAAAACGAATTTCAATTCTGCAATCCCTCATCCTCCTCCAATCAATCCAGAATACTTGTTCCAAGAATCCCAACCACGTTATCAACATCCATGGACCAATTATTTACAAGATTTCATCGAACACTTTGGGAGTCTTCTTCTTCCACCCTCTTCCTCAAGCTCTAGCTATGGTGCCTGCGGGCACCCAACCTATCAAGCCTGCCAATCGCCACACACCCTCCTAAATCCAACACCCCTCTGCACCACTCAAGAAGCCCACTGCASATGAAGTGTCCASTCAGCAGGGGAGCGCAGCTCCCAGGATGATGAAGAAGAGCAGCAAATCGATGAAGATGAAGATCTGCCACTTCGAAGCAGGCATAGAGAAGTTGCTTCGATGGCAGCTGTCAAAACCCTAATAGGACAACTATGGAGGAAGCACCACGCAGAGCAGGGCCTGATGTCCCTAGGCCAATTCCGCACCAGCCAGGTAAGCCCAGTTATGGTCGTCAACTTCCCTTCAATGAGGAAGACGAACGGGCACTTTGAATTAGTGCAGCTCCAGCCGCGACCTCCAGCAGCACTTTGTGAAAAAAAATGACGAAGCAGAACCCGAAATTCGTCGGCCCCTGCCTACTTCTACCCGACTTCCTTAAACCTACAACACAGTAACCACCTACAGACCTATCTGACCGTCCAAACAGAAAACATCTACGGCCCAACAGTCAAGATCTACCTACATGCATCTAGATGGAATCTTAGACTAAGGGAACCCAAGGCTAGGACACACAAAGAAATACCTACGGGCCTACCAGTTTCCAGAAGGGCAGAAAAGGACAAAACAACAAGGCTAAGTGGCCTAAAACTACGAAGTAGAGACTACTAGCGACAGGTTCAAGGTTCAAGCCCAATAAACCTCAAAAACAGTCACACACTACAAACACACTGCAAGTCACGGGTTCGAATCCCGGAAAGCACAAAACAGGCAACAACAAAATTAGTGTACAGCCCGCATCTCCCTGCAATTCATTGCATCAGCACCCTCTACGACAAGGGAGACTGAACCTGATGCAGATCAGGAGTCCTCTCTTAAAGCCCCATCGTTTGCTGATTCCAAGGCTAAATCTTGTCATGCTTTGTATGTTGAGCCTTGGGAGGAGTCTGAGACAATCGACTTTCACTATCACTTAGAGCATTGTGTTGAGATGAAACATCAAAATGCTCAAGGGACAGTGAAGTTAATCTTTTTTAAACTTCTCGTAAACCACCGCTATCTCCGTGTGTTGATTGATTGTGGTGCTACGACTAACTTCATATCACAACACGGGATACGCAAAGTGGGCTTGAGAATGAAGCAAGTGGCTTTGCAGAACCCTTGCCGGACTCCAGTAGGCAACAAAGAAGTTGTCTCATCTGCGTATGCAGTCAAAGATGTGCGCACCACCTTTGACAAGGACAAGACAGTCACCCACGCATTGAACTTTTATGTCTTTGACAAGTGTCCCTTCGACACAGTCCTTGGCTTGGGATGGCTGCAGTCCCCATGGGAATGGACCAAGTGGAAAGAGCCAGTTTTCATGGTAAAAGATGCTCAAGGGAACGAGTTTCCCGTCCTCTTGGATGAGAAGCACGAGTCCGCAATGACTTTTCTCAATGTCATGCAATTCTGCAAGAAGTGGCGCGAGCATAAAGAGGATGAAAATTGTATGTTGCCTTCATTCGGCCTACTCATGTGCCATCTACTTTTGCGGCTAGTGCTAATATTACTTCATCTAATAAATCTATTTCTAGCACTTTTACTTCTCTACCTACCCCTAATCTAAATGACTCTACTTTAGATTCGGTCATCTCCATTCGTAATTTGCGACTTGATCTAGGTAAAGTGTATAGCGAATGAGATCCGACGAGTTGGGGGAACTCCGGAAACAAATCGCTGAAATGATCGACAAGGGATGGATTAATCCTAGTGAGTCTGAATTTGGTGCCCCTGCTTTGTTTGTCCCAAAGAAAGGAGCCAAACTTTGGATATGTATTGATTTTCGCAGTCTAAACCGCATCACAAAAAATAATGCATACCCGTTGCCACGCATAGATGACTTGCTTGATGTTGCAGGTGGGTGCAAGGTCTTTTCCAAGACCGACCTCAAGTCTGGATAGCACCAGATTGAAGTCGATCCGGCAGACCAGCACAAGACTTCGTTCAAGACACGCGATGGGCTTTACAAATTTACCGTAATGTCGTTCGGTCTTACGAACGCACCTACCACCTTTCAAAGCCTTATGGACAAGAGCCTTCGCGAACAGATTGGTCGGTTTGTGGTGTTGTATCTCGATGATATTCTACTCTTCAGCAAATCCATCGAGGAACATATGAAGCACCTTGATGAAGTGTTCATCATCCTCAAGAAAACACAACTCCATCCCAACTTAGAGAAATAGAGTTGGGAGGGATAGCGCCATTTATCTTAAGCATCAGTTGTCTGTTGCAGGCCTCGAGCCTGAGGCAACCAAGGTTGAGGTCATACGCAACTGGCCTCAACCCGCGAACATTTGTGAACCGCGTTCTTTCCTTGGTCTCACATCTTACTAACGAAAGTTTGTGCCCCGATTCTCTATTGTTGCTCGCCCGTTGTCCCGATTGACAAGTAAGAATGTACCTTATGCAAGGGATGCAACATGTGAGACCGCATTTCAAGCCTTGAAAGAGGCCTTGGCAAGTTACCATGCACTACGCATTGCAAATTCTAAACTAACATTCGTACCGATGTGAGCCAGTATGGGATTGGCACAGTGCTGCAAAAAGATGACGGCAATGGCTTGCGGCCGCTCGAGTACTACAGCAAACGCATGCCCAACAAAAAGATAGTTACTTCCACCTACATGCGCGAGCTCTATGCTTTGCGTATGGCTTTGGACCATTGGAAGCACTATCTTTTGGGACGCCACTATAAAGTGTTCTCAAATTATGAGACTTTGAAGTGGATCGAAGATCAAACCACCCTATCCCCTACATTACTTCGCTGGTTCCATGAGATCGACATGTTTGACTTTGAGCTAAGACATAAAAAGGGTTGTTATGATCGAGTTGTTGATGCGTTGTCTCGCCACCCCGAGTACATGCCTTGCCTTGTGAATTCCTATGACCTCCAAAAGAAACTGAAGGAGGAGATCCTAAAACACACTGCGAAGGACCTGGACCTTACTCCCATCCTTCAGCAGTTGCTGGCTGACCCCAACAGTCAGCCTGATTTTCACGAATATGGAGGACTGTTTTTTCGACGCTATGGGAAGAACGACCGTTTGTGTCTGCCCAACCATGAGCCTCTCCGCATGCACTTCTTGGACTTGGCTCATGGCCGGAGTGGACAGTTCGACATGGCAAAGACATACGTAAACCTATTGAGACAGTTTGATTGGCCTGATATAAAGGGATCTGCTGAAAAGTTTGTGGCTGAGTGTCAAGTCTGTCAACGAATCAAACCATGTCGACAAAAGCCCATGGGGCTACTTACACCCCTTCATATTCCCGATGGTCCCGGGGAGTCTGTCTCTATCGACTTCACCGACATGGGAAAGGTAAGTAAGAACGGCTATTCGCAAGTGATGGTGATTGTTGACCGCTTCTCAAAATTCATCGATCTGATTCCTTTGCCATCTCATGCCCCAACCGAATTGGTGATCCGTGAGTTCGAACAGAAGTACATTTTGCAGTTCGGAACCCCGAAAACTCTTGCAATGATCAGGACCCGTGCTTCACAAGTACCGAATGGAAGGACTTCACGTCCCAACTCCCTGGCCTCAGACTATGCATGACATCTGGCCGACATCTCGAAGCTAACGGTTTGGCTGAGGAAATAAACCAGACTGTGTTCCAACTTCTCCACTCTTTAATCATTCAGGATCACGAAACGTGGGATGAAGAGTTGTATTCTGTCAAGGGGTTGTACAACAACTCCATCCATTCTTCCACCAGCATGACGCCAAACAGGATGGACAGTGTTTGGCAAAGAAGAAGAGCGTTATCATTTCTCTATGCAGGTGTACATCATCGTCTTCTTCTCTCTTTCTTCTTCCTCTTCTTCTTACCCTCTCTCTCCTCTCAAGTTCATTCATTAATTTTTGCAATTGGACGGCATTGTACTATCTGATGAATGTATACTTCAAAATTGGCCAGGATCATAAAAGTGGGGATTCCAGGATGACATGCATAAATCGAGAAATGCCCAAACTTAACCACCACTACCTCGGAGCCGAGGCAGAAAAGACCTATGCGGCAACCTTTGCTGAAGCACCGACACGACTTTTTTCTTTTTTGGGCTGGTGCTGCCAGCCATTTTGATCCCGTAGCACTGTTCATCCGAAGACAGCGGTTTATGGTAAATTGGTGTTTCGAGTTTGTCTGTGAAAGGTAGTGATGGTCTAGAGGCTGTCTCTTATACACATCTAGATGTGTAGCACTGTTCATCCGAAGACAGCGGTTTATGGTAAATTGGTGTTTCGAGTTTGTCTGTGAAAGGTAGTGATGGTCTAGAGGGGGAGGGGGGGGGGGGGGCGGTGAGGGAGAGGAAGTACTTAGACATAGGTCCCAAGGCACAGTTACTTGCACAACTGCTGTGTCTTTGCATTAGCTCTGCCCCCACCCAGCGGCTCCATCCTACTCCCTTACCACAGCCTATGGGCGCAGAGCAACATGCATCCCCTTTATTATGACGGTGGGTATGCTTGTAGGGTCTCCTGTATAGGCTTAGGAGTAGTGGTACGTACGTAGCGAACGGTGAAACTGAGAGAATAATACAGCTTAGTTGTTTAAAAAAGGAAAATAGAGATCCATTCCATTCATGCTCCACAGTGTCCACATGTCATTTCTGCACATGGTACGCTGTACCCGTTTCCCAGCACGCCCTGTTGCGCCCAACCAATAGATTAATGTATCAGATCCTTGTTTTCGTTTTCTTGCAAAAACGAAAAAGAAAATACCTGAAGCTCCGCAAGCTCGTCGACGTACTCTTGTGCAAGAACATCCACCCGCGTTGAAAATTGCTGGCCGAGCTTAATAAACGTTGGACCCAGTCGTAGCAGGCCTTCCTTCAACCACTTGGCGAGCGCTTTGCGTCTGTCTTTCTGTTTTTCTGGAGTCATCCCGCCCCGGTACATGAATTTTTTCTGGTTTAACCACCACTTAACTGCAAACTTGACGACAAAGCTCCAGATTTCAAAAGTCCGCTGGATCGTAGAGTAAGTCTTGAACCGATTCCATCTTCCACCAGGAGAGACAGAGACCTGCAGAAAACAACAAATGAAAAGAAGTGAAAAAAAAATCCATAGCCAATGTCTGGTGTGAGTATTTAGTATCCTGAGCATCCTTCCATTGCTTTGTTTTCTTTTTAGCAATTACGAATTTATTTATACAAGCCAGGAACGGCATCCCGCGTCCCTTGCAAAAAGCAGTTCGTGTCATGTGGGACATCCGTTACAACTGGGACGATGCAGAGAACGTGGATTAATTTATTTAATTTATTAGCATGGATGGACCCCTGAGCATTCAAGGATGACACACATAAATATGCTATGAACCCAGATCGTGAAGACAGTTGTCAACAATGCAAGTCCAAACGAGTGTCAACCAGCTGATGATTATCAATAATCGTATTTGTGTCCACAGACGAGGTAGATGAGAGGGAGGAAAGACTTAGAATGGGGAGGATAGAAACAATGCCCGCTGCTTCTTCGGGCTCCCTCCGCAATCACCACCTCAATAATCAATAATCTGAACCAGTATCTGAAGTAACCTCAATGTGCCACGTGGCACGTCGAATCAGTCCCTCATCAATGCTGGAGCAATGTCGACATGAAGACAACCAGGTTAGTATCCACGATCTCTCCACAGTCTTGATCTCCTCTTGAATGACAATAAGCAGAACAGCAACACAAATCACATAGCTTCGCCTCGTCAAATCAGTAGTACACGTGGCAGCAGCCACGTCAGCGACAGCGCATGGCAGCTGCCACGTCAGCATGCCAAGAAGACAAATGCAAGCCAGCCACCATGCCGGACCAGCAGCGCGTCGCCGTAGACACAATGCCAGCATAGAGCCAGCGCTCAGCCAGCTTCGCAGCGTCGAGCCAGAGTCGTCGTCAACGCATGAATACAGCATCGACATAAGACAGAATGAATGTCCAAGCCAGGAAAGTCAGCACTTATGTAGCATTGACTCGGGGTCTGGGCCCCTGATGCTACCACCCTCAGCCGTCCAGATTTCGATGCAAACAAAGGCCCAGATTGGTCTGAAACCGAATTTCCTCCGGCCTGGATGCTTGTCTGGGTACCTGTGCACAACGAGTGTATCCAACCAAGGGCCTGGGTGCGGTACCTTTCACTCTACAGTTGACTTTGACCCGTGAATTTCCTGTGTGCAGCGTTCGGTCACACAGCCAAACGTGACAGACTCAGGCCTGGGCGTGTCTTGGTCACACGGCCCAGCGCAGACCAACTCAGGTCTGCGTTGCCTGGGGCAGAGTTCTGGGCCCCAGGCTACTTCTGAACAGGGTTACTGCAAATAAATCGAGAAAAAAATATTCCAAATAAAATTTGAAATCAGACTGCACTCCAAACGTGCTTGCAACATGCATACATGGACAAACCAATGGCAAACCAACCTCTCCAACTCAGAATCAACAATGAACTTGCACTTAAAACTCAGTTCAAGTCAACTGCACAACTTGCAGCTATGGCCGCCGAACACTGTCTTCACTACGAGAGAGAGAGAGAGAGAGAGAGAGAGAGAGAGAGAGAGAGAGAGAGAGAGAGAGAGAGAGAGAGAGAGAGAGAGAGAGCACTACGAGAGAGAGAGAGAGAGCGCACTACGAGAGAGAGAGAGAGAGCACTACGAGAGAGAGAGAGAGCACTACGGCGAACTCACCGCAACTCACCGCGGGGCCCCATGCAGTTCAGCGTCTCTCTCTCTCTCTCTCTCTCTCTCTCTCTCTCTCTCTCTCTCTCTCTCTCTGT